TATTTTTATATCAAAATCCAATATTTCAATTCCTTCTGTCAATCAATCTTCAACTTTTTAGCGACGCAGAGTGAAGATTCATTAGTTAGTTGGCTAGCTAACAGCATGGCGAGCTCACTGACACACAACTTTATCAGTGATTTGGGTGAAACTGGATCATATTTTGCTGCTAATGTAGCTGCCATAAGCTTACTGCTAATGTAACGGGGCTCAGCAGCCTCCCAGTGAACACAACCTCCGAGACAGACGGAGGACAGGGTCGGATATATTGGTTCTCTCTTCACTTCCCTACAGCGTCTAACAGTGAGCAACACAAGCTAACGCCATCGGCCACAACACGTAGTCCACATTTTCCTCTCGTAACTTCTCCTTTAGTTTCATTTGAATCATTTCCAGAAGCACAAAGATGTAAAACTACCTTGAATCCGTACTTGAGCTCAGTAGTTGAGTAAATATTCTGCTACTTGGCCAGGAATGTGTGTGTCGGGGTGTGTGTGTGTGTGTGTGGTGGCAGGTGGTTTGAACAGCTTCCTGGAGACAGCTGAGGAGGGAGGGGTGCCATAATAATCATACCAGACCCCCTCCTCCTCCTCATCCCGACTCCATCCACACCTCCACCCTCGTTGCTTTACTTTTCCATTGATTCTTCCTTTTTCAGTTGCTTCCACTGGCCTGTTTTCCGTGGGTGGTCTCCTCCTCCACCACATTAGATGATAAGTCCATGTGTGCTCCAGCGTTTCAAACGTACTACCAGGAGTTTTTAAACTGGTTAGGAAACATTATGGACTCGAACTGGTGTGTGTGGTGTAGTGAACTCTCGCCTGTAGTCCCCAGAGGATGAACCCTACTGTGATCCTCAGACTTTACCTCAAACATTTGGCTATTATAGGAATATCTCAACAATTACTGACTTTATTGTCATTAAATTCAGTACAGATATCCCCGACCTCCAGAGGATGAACCCTACCAACTGCTGATGACCCTCTGACTTCTCTAGCGCCACCATGAGGTCGACATTGTAGGTTTTTACTGAAAAGACTTCTGGATGAACCCATAATAACTTTGGTGATCCTCTGACTTTGTTTCATCATCAGGTGTATATATTAATTTATAAACACTTTATGAACAGTTATATCCTATAAATCACACACTCTTTCCCTTTTTAAAAGTCAACCGAAGACCAACATATTTAGTCGAGCTTTTAGTTCATGTATTAAGTTTTACTCTATTCTGTGAGATGTGTGTGTGTATTTTATCTAATTTTTTGTTTTAATGACATTTTTTATTCACTGGGATTAGTTTTTAATGCCACACTGTAAAGCAATATGGTGCAGTATAAATAAAGTTATTATTAGATTCCATATAGTCCACATTACTAACATTAATACCTCCTTTTATTGTTTAGTGATTTTGCATTTTGAGCCTCGTGCATGTTCTACATTATGTAAAATTAACTGTAATGTTACATGGATTTGTTTGTTAATTGACAGATATCTTGTATAATTATGGAAGTTTTAACAACAAAAATGTTGAATAAATGTTTTATTATCAGCGTATAAGCATTGGTAAACTGACAAAATACAGTTTTTATCAGTGAAAACAGCTAATTTAAAGGTATTTTAATTGTTTTTACAGTATAAAAAGCTTTAATTAAACATTAAAAAGCTAAAAAATGTTATGTAAAGAATTAAAGCTTGAAAACTTTTTAAGAAGTTACTGTAATTACTGTATTTTTACAGTTATTTTCTGTTATTTTACTGTATTGTTTTTGGCAATACAGCTGCTGGAACATTACTGTTTTCTTTTTAAAGTGCATCTGTAATGGTTTATTTCCTAAATCCTAAAAATTAATATTAAATTACTACAAAAAATTTAGCAGGACTCAACTCCTTTAAATACACCAACTCCTCCACTGTGACGAGATAGAAGAATAAGAAGAAGGAGAAGAGGAGGAGGAGGTTGTGGGGAACTAAGACTTGGTTACTCAGCCTTAAGTTACTTCTCTTCCTCCTCTTTATTTTCCTCCAGTGGCTCACACACAAACAGACACACACAC